CCTGGCACCTTGCAGTCCTTGAGCTTCGGGTACACTTACAACCAGAGCTTGGATGATGTGACGTTTGCCTGACAGCCTGCAGTCCTTGAGCTTCGTGACGTTTGCCTGGCAGCTTGCAATCCTTGAGCTTCGGGCACGCTTACAACCAGAGCTTGGATGATGTGACGTTTGCATGACAGCTTGCAGTCCTTGAACTTCGTGACGTTTGCCTGGCAGCTTGCAATCCTTGAGCTTCGGGCACGCTTACAACCAGAGCTGGGAGTTTGTGACGTTTGCCTGGCAGCTTGCAGTCCTTGAGCTTCTGGTACGCTTTCAACCAGAGCTTGGAGAATGTGACGTTTGCCTGGCAGCTTGCGGTCCTTGAGCATCTAGTACGCTTACAACCAGAGCTTGGAGAAAATGACGTTTGCCTGGCAGCTTACAGTCCTTGTGTGACGTTTACCTGGCAATTTGCAGTCCGTGAATTTCGGGTATGCCTACAACCAGAATTTGGACAACGTGACGTTTGCCTGGCAACTTGCAGTCCTTGAGCTTCGTGACGTTTGCCTGGCGGCTCGTAGTCCTTGAGATTAGGGTACGCCTACAACCAGAGCTTGGACAGTGCGATGCTTGCCTGGCAGCTTGCCGCTTCGGGCACGCTTACGACCAGAGCTTGGAGAACGTGACGTTTGCCTGGCAGCTTGCAGACCTTGAGCTTCGTTTTCGCTTACAACCAGAGCTTCGACAATGTGCTTGCAATCCTTGAGCTTCAGGTACGCTTACAACCAGAGCTTGGAGAATGTGACGTTTGCCTGGCAGCTTGCAGTCCTTGAGCTTCGTCACGTTTGCCTGGTATCTTGCAGTCTTTGCGCTTCGGGTACGCTTACAACCAGAACTTGGATTGGAGAGTGTGACGTTGGCCTGGCAGCTTGCAGTCATTGAGATTCGGGCGCGCTCACAACCGGAGCTTGGACAATGTGACGTTCGCCTGGCAGCTTGCAGTCCTTGAGCTTCGTGACGTTTGACGCAGACGGCGTTCAACAAGGCGGTGCAGGCCGACCGTGCCCCACACCCTTTCCCCTCCAACCTCTTCGCAAGAACACGCCAGCCAATTTCAGAGATGGTATCCGAATTCTTAATCGACAAGTACCACCACAGGACTACGCCACCGGCATGACCATGGACCACGCGGGCGTAGTCAGCACGTGCCTATGTTGAGCAGTGACGATCCCCACCCCCTTCCTCCCTAAACCCAGCGTCATGAAGTGAAGTGCGATTTTGATCATGCATATCACGCGTTCATGCGCAGCTTGTCCCTGCCCCAGTCCCTCACCTACCCAGAGCGCTTTTCACCAGTGGCTGACGTAGTGGCAGCCTGGCAGCTTGCAGTCCTTGAGCTTCGGGTACGCGTTCATCCAGAGCTTGAACTGGAGAGTGTGACCTTGGCCTGGCAGCTTAAAGTCCTTGGGATTCGGGTACGCTTACAACCAGAGCTTGGAGCATGTGACGTTTGCCTGACAGTTTGCAGTCCTTGAGCTTCGGGTACGCTTGTACCCAGAACTCGAAGAATGTGACGTTTGCTAGACAACTTGCAGCCCTTGAGCTTCGTGACGTTTGCCTGGCAGCTTGACAGCTTGTAGTCCTTGAGCTTCGGCTACGCTTGCAACCAGAGCTTAGAATTCAAGCCAACAGCACCACGCCAAGATGACCACGCAGATCGGCACCACACACGCAAGCAGTACCGGTTTCCTCTTTGGTCATTTTGTTTTCAATTTCACCAAAAACGAGTCCTGTTCTATCTCACCTACCTCTGACGCTTGGCTTGGAGCGAGCAAAAGAATTGAGACCAACTGCGAGTCGACTTCCTTCATCCATCATGTTAACATTTCATTATTTGAAACATGCATGTCTGAGCTCGTTTGCGTGTCATCATGTTTCACATGTGGTCCACTTCCAACAGAGTTTCTTCTTCCTAACATACCTCATGATGACGTTGCGCTACTACGCCAACAAAAGGTTGATGGTCTGCTTCGGGTACGCTTACAACCAGAGCTTGGAGAATGTGAAGTTTGCCTGGCAGCTTGCAGTCCTTGAGGCAACTAGAGCTTGGAGAGTGTGACGTTTGCCTGGCAGCTTGCAGTCCTTGAGATTCGTGACGTTTGCCTGGCAGCTTGTAGTCCTTGAGCTTCGGGTACGCTTACAACCAAAGCTTGGAGAGTATGGCGCTTGCCCGGCAGCTTGCAGTCCTTGAGTTCCGGGTGCGCTTACAATCAGAGCTTACGTTTGCCTGGCAGCTTGGCGGAGACCCAGTTGCCCAACACCTTGGACCTGAATGTGACGTTTGCCTGGCAGCTTGCAGTCCCTGAGTTGCGTGACGTTTGCCTGGCAGCTTGCAGTCCTTGAGCTTCGGGCACGCTTACAACCAGAGCTTGGAGAATGTGACGTTTGCCTGGCAGGAACATTTGAAGCATGAATGCGCACATGCCCGGCAGCTTGCAGTCCTTGAGTTCCGGGTGCACTTACAATCAGAGCTTACGTTTGCCTGGCAGCTTGGCGGAGATCCAGTTGCCCAACACCTTGGACCTGAATGTGACGTTTGCATGGCAGCTTGCAGTCCCTGAGTTGCGTGACGTTTGCCTGGCAGCTTGCAGTACTTGAGCTTCGGGCATGCTTACAACCAGAGCTTGGAGAATGTGACGTTTGCCTGGCAAGAACATTTGAAGCATGAATGAGCACATGACTCATGACATGGGGCATGCGAGGTTGACATTTGATGTCTCATGTTGCACTCCATTCAGTTGCGTTTTCTAACCCTAGACCCTAAGTCATCTTCTACCACATCGCCACGGTGTTCAACTTTGGTGTCTTGCTGGAGCATGACATTCCCCGGAAGAGCATCAATGTGATGCCCATATGGCTTGTGTGACGTTTGCCTGCAGTCCGTGAGCTTCGGGTACACTTGCAACCAGAGTTTGGACAATGTGACGTTTGCCTGGCAGCTTGCAGTCCTTGAGCTTCGTGACGTTTGCCTGGCAGCTTGCAGTCCTTGAGGCAACCAGAGCTTGAAGAGTGTGACGTTTGCCTGGCAGCTTGCAGTCCTTGAGATTCGTGACGTTTGCCTGGCAGCTTGCAGTCCCTGAGCTTCGGGTACGCTTACAACCAAAGCTTGGAGAGTATGGCGCTTGCCCGGCAGCTTGCAGTCCTTGAGTTCCGGGTGCACTTACAATCAGAGCTTACGTTTGCCTGGCAGCTTGGCGGAGATCCAGTTGCCCAACACCTTGGACCTGAATGTGACGTTTGCATGGCAGCTTGCAGTCCCTGAGTTGCGTGACGTTTGCCTGGCAGCTTGCAGTACTTGAGCTTCGGGCATGCTTACAACCAGAGCTTGGAGAATGTGACGTTTGCCTGGCAAGAACATTTGAAGCATGAATGCGCACATGACTCATGACATGGGGCATGTGAGGTTGACATTTGATGTCTCACGTTGCACTCCATTCAGTTGCGTTTTCTAACCCTAAACCCTAAGTCATCTTCTACCACATCGCCACGGTGTTCGACTTTGGTGTCTTGCTGGAGCATGACATTCCCCGGAAGAGCATCAATGTGATGCCCATATGGCTTGTGTGACGTTTGCCTGCAGTCCGTGAGCTTCGGGTACGCTTGCAACCAGAGTTTGGGCAATGTGACGTTTGCCTGGCAGCTTGCAGTCCTTGAGCTTCGTGACGTTTGCCTGGCAGCTTGCAGTCCTTGAGGCAACCAGAGCTTGAAGAGTGTGACGTTTGCCTGGCAGCTTGCAGTCCTTGAGATTCGTGACGTTTGCCTGGCAGCTTGCAGTCCTTGAGCTTCGGGTACGCTTACAACCAAAGCTTGGACAGTATGGCGCTTGCCCGGCAGCTTGCAGTCCTTGAGTTCCGGGTACGCTTACAATCAGAGCTTACGTTTGCCTAGCAGCTTGGCGGAGATCCAGTTGCCCAACACCTTGGACCTGAATGTGACGTCTGCCTGGCAGCTTGCAGTCCCTGAGTTGCGTGACGTTTGCCTGGCAGCTTGCAGTCCTTGAGCTTCGGGCATGCTTACAACCAGAGCTTGGAGAATGTGACGTCATCTTCTACCACATCGCCACGGTGTTCGCCTTTGGTGTCTTGCTGGAGCATGACATTCCCCGGAAGAGCATCAATGTGATGCCCATGTGGCCATATGGCTTGTGTGACGTTTGCGAGCTTTGGGTACGCTTGCAACCAGAGTTTGGACAATGTGACGTTTGCCTGGCAGCTTGCAGTCCTTGAGCTTCGTGACGTTTGCCTGGCAGCTTGCAGTCCTTGAGGCAACCAAAGCTTGGAGAGTGTGACCACGTCTTCCAGCAGCAGTACGACATCCACGACAGAACAGCAGGGAAACCTCGACAAGTACGTGGACCTGGATTTCCTGTGTGATTGAACGCGCAGACAACGCCCCGAAAGGGGTGTGTGTGGCACACCGCTGTACATGCGGGTTCGTGAACAAGCAGGAGCATGTTGTGATGATGATGAAGTTCGTGATTTTGAGTACATCAACATGTTTTCGTTCGGAAATCAGCAGGGGAGACGGATTGCTTTGGCTGTCTTGCCGAGGAGAGTGTGGACTGGGGTGTGGGGGTCCTCGGCCAACGAAGACGCCCCCACACCCCACCCACACTCTGTGTAAACGTACCTGCGCTTCAAGCAAGCTTTCACACTTGTGTGACAGCGTTTTATGCCAGATGAACTCAAAAATTCTTTGATGAGAATTTTTGTGTCCATGTTCTACATGTTGTTCTGCTGGGAATTTTCGTCTGACCCGGGCATGCACTCTCATGTGATTTGTTGCATGAATATTTACATGTGAATTGCATGTTGAATGGGTCAAGGTTCTTGCTCGCAGCAAGCTGGCGAAAATTTTTGTTCGGGTTCGGGGCCGTACTAGTGCTGTGCTAGAGGTCTCAGTCCCCCCGTAAACCGAGTTTGCCGCTAGGGCTCGTGCACGCCGGCCCGCGGGGCCGGCAGATGGATCTCGAGGCCCCTGAACCTCCTGCCGCAGCTGCCCAGGCTGTGCCTGTTGAGGTTCGCCTTGCATCCTTGAGCCGTGACGTGGCCCTGCTCGGGCGTCATTTGCGCAGTGTTCAACACCGTTTGGTCAGCCTTGAGGATCGCGTGGTCGCCTTGCAGTCCCGTGTGCAGGATAACGCTGATCAGCTTGAACAGGACTCCACCCGCCTTGCTGCTATCAGCCAGTTTCTGCAGGCCTTGGTTCAACACTTGAGCTTTCTGTTGCGCGGCCTTTTGCACGCCCTGCCTGTGCGTCTGTGATGCCAGTTTCTGATGATAGTGAAGTGGGGAGTGACGATCAGCCTGTTCCTGCCCCGTCTCATGCCTTGTCAGGTCACGAGAGCTTGAGCCAGGACACCCGGCAAGCTTTGCATGTCCTGTCTTGCACGGCTTCGGGTCGTTCGCTGTGGAAAATGCCCTGGGATGTGGGTCTTTTGGCCTATGATCCCACGCCCAAGCCCTTGAAGCCCTTGGCGACAGTGTTGCCGACTTTTGCGAGTCCCACTCCATCGAGCGTGCCAGCCGATACTCCCCCGGTTCGGCAGAAGCTTAAACGGCCGTGTTTTGTTCAGAATGTCCCTTACAAATTTGTAAAGACTAAGCTGGAAACTAAAACTTGGCTGCAATTGCAGAACGAGGAGCGGCATCTTGCAGTGAGCAAGTGGATTTCCGTTGTTGCGTGTGATCCCATGTCTTTTGGTGTCGCTCGCAACTGGTATCAAGGCAAGGTCGCAGGTCACTGTGTTGGCACGCTTTCCGATAGCGTCGCAGATGCTCTTTCAGCAAAGGCGACAGCCACTGTGAATAATAGGGCCTCACACCTCTTGCGGTTTGTGGTATGGACGCGGGGAAGGAATATGCTACCGTTCCCTTTGGTCGAGGCAGCCGTTTACCTGTACATGGACACAAACCGCGCCACGGCTGCTCCAACTGCATTTCGCAGTTTCCTTTCCTCCGTCGCATTTGCGAAGTTCGTTCTGGGGATGCCTTCGGCCGATGAGGTCCTTTGTTCGCATCGAATCACGGGCCTTTCTGCGAGGACCTATCAACTCAAGAGGCCATTGAAGCAAAGACTCCCCTTCACTTGCGCACAAGTCAGGAAGCTGGAGGCGATACTTTCAGGTCAGTTACGCCGCTCGACGGCGGACAGAGTGGCTGCAGGTTTCTTCCTCTTTATGATAGGCAGCAGGGGCCGCTTCTCGGACGCCCAGAGGGTGACCGAGCTCAGGCTCCCGCGCGGGGCAAAGTACATCACTGCTGTTGCGTCGCGCACGAAGAGTTCGACCTCACTTGAGCGCAAGACTCGCATGCTGCCCATGGCTGCTCCTGTTGTGATGCTTGATGACGAACGTCCATGGGGAGTGACTTGGTTTGAGCTTTTGGAGTCCGAAGGTCTAGGCCCAGATCAAGAGTGCCCGCTTCTTCCGCTGGCCAGGTCAGACGGGACTTGGGCTAAGGTGCCTTTGCCGTGTGATATGGCGAATGTGTGGCTGAAGTCATTGCTCGATTTTGGCAGCGATTCCTACGGCAGTTATGGGACGCATTCCTGCAAACGTACACTTCTTGCTTGGTCGTCGCAGTTTGGGCTTGCGAGAGATATCCGTTGCATTTTGGGCTATCATGTGTCCAGAGCTGCAGGTGTAGGAACCGAGATCTTGTATGAGGCCGACGCGCAGGCTCAACCTCTCAGGGAGATGTCGAGGATGCTCCTGTGGGTCCGGAAGGGCGATTTTGATCCTGATGCCCCGAGAGGTCGCAAGTTCAGGGTGGCTGATGGCGAAGAACAGCCTTTTCCCGAGGATGAAGATGACTGTGGAGAGGACGGAGCTGTGTCGTCTTCGGAGGGCAGCGAGGATGACGAGACCCCTGATCGCAGGTTAGATGAAGATTGTGCCAACCAGCTCGTGGGACGCTGGACCGGGAGAGTCGACGAGTCGCTGCTGCCTGTGAGTGGGGTTTATGTACGCAACTTGGTGTCGAGGGTCATCCACGTCGCCGCTGAGGAGGGCGGCGAAATTTTGATTTGTGGAGGTGTAAACAGTGTTTCAGACGTTTTGTGCGCTAGCGGCTGTGCCTAGAGAGATGTGAATGGATCGCGGCGCGTCGTACAAATGAAGTTCGACCTGTGGGCTTATTGCATCAGTTTTATATCCCACTCTTAGTGGGGGGGGCGAAGCCAGCTCTGAGCTGACATGCACGTGTTTTATGCCCATTCTCTGCCATTCTTCGCGGTGGAGTTGCAGCTCTAAGCTGACATGCACGTGCTCAATGTCCTTGAAAGCCCACTCTTAGTGGTGCAATCTGGAGGCTCTAAGCCGCTGTGCACGTGCTTTACGCCCAGCTCGGAGCTGACATGCACTCGATCGTGCTATATGTTGGTTTACCGCCACTCTTAGTGGTGGTTTGGCAGCTCTAAGCTGACATGCACGTGCTCCATGCCCCTGAAAGCCCACTCTTGGTGGCGCTACTTGCTTACATGGATTTATGCCAAGCTCTGAGCTGACATGCACTTGCTTAACGCCCAGCTCTCAGCTGGTACATGCACCGCCTGTTATGCCATGATGAGTTCTCTTCTCTTACTTTTAATGCTGTTATGCCAGCGACAGTTTCATATCTTTTTGCTGTGTGCAATGTGACGCTCACTCTTAGTGGGCGACAGCTCTCAGCTGAAAACGTGCGCGACCCCTACGCGGGCTGAGAGGTGATTGTGCAGCTCTCAGCTGCCCTCTTGAGGCTTGGAGTGCAGTTCTCGTTGCTGTTCCGCAGACATGTCTGGGAAAGCTTACTGCTGCCTTGAGGTGGAGCCGTTTAAGGTTCAAGAAGGTGCGGTTGTGTGCACCATGGCGGCCTATTCGGAATCCACTCCAGTGTTCCGAGCCCGATGCGCAGCATGTGGACTTGATGAAGCCGAGACGGAGAGTCTTGTCGCTGCCGGCCTCACAACCTTGGCGAAGGTCGCTTTCTGCAGTGCCTATACCCCAGGCGCTGGTGACGATGGCAGTCTCATCTTAGCCCTGTCAACTGCGTTGGGAAAAGAGCCGACCTTGGGGCAAAAAGCCTCTTTCCGAAGGCTCTTTCACGAGTCTTTCTCAGTTACGACTCATGAGATGAAAGGTTTGGTGAGCCAAACGGAGGAGAGTGCACCTCGAAAGCTCTCGGTCCCGGAAAGGGCTGAGAGGCATTCCGCCATTGTGAAGCGACTTCCAGGTCTTGACATTAGAAACCGCACTGAACCGTCCGATTCATTGCTTGATCTGTGTGTTTCAATGTATGAGAACAACAAGCTTCTATATGTGGAGTGGGACCGCCTGACGAGTAAGGAGCAGGAGCAGACGCTGAGCGCCAAGCGGGAGAAAGTCCTTTCTGTTGATGCGGCCGGCATGTTGCGGACCGAAAAGTCCTCCCCGGCAATAGCCGATACTTCGACTGAGCTTCTACTCCTTCTTGCCATGACTCGCAGAGCGGTGGCCTTTGAGATGGCAAACCTCCTCGACTATAACCTGCATGCGCGCTGGAGCGAGCGCCTGCAAAGTGCCCGTTTGGACCCTGTGCTCGCGGGCCACTTGCAACCCACTTTCCAGCAGCTGCAGGCTGCTGATCGCCGCCTTTTCATGCTCCTTGCGGACCGAACAAGGACCGGTATCCAACTGAATGCCACAGGCAAGCGGCCGCTTGACCTGATCTTTGTTGAGTGCACCCAAGCTTCGGAAGTCCTTCACCTGTTGCAGCCCCTTCCCAAGGCCCAGAGTGGGCCGTCTCCCCCCAACGAGAGTGCTGAGCGTGGCGGCCCTTACCCAAGAGGCCGAGGTCGTGGGAGAAGCCAGAAGGGAGGTCGCAAGGGCGCTGGCAAGGGCGTTCGAATGCCCTTCGGGCTCCAGGGCTGCCGTTCCTGCACCAACAACAACGAGCCCATATGTTTCGATTATAACCTCAAGAAGTGCCGTGAAACGGTCACCCGAGGCCGTTGCCGGAAAGGCCTTCATATCTGCGCTGTCGGTCGCTGCGGACGTACACATCCTGCCCTGGACTGCCCCAACAAGCCGGCGGCCATGGGTGCCGAGGCCTGACAGTCCGGGGCGGGGCAGCCTGTGTCGCCTGATCCTGTACGGGAGCCCCCTGTTCCTGCAAAGACTCCCGACAGCGTTTGCGATGCCGGCTCTGATTCCATGTCCCGCCACTCCCCGACTGCCCTCAATTTGCCTGAGACCTTGTCATGTACAGATTGCATTTTGTCTGGTTTCGAGGCCTTGATGCACGCATACCCCGCACCGGTGCATCCTGCAGAAATTTTGGCTTTTTCCATGCTTCAAGAGCGCGCCCTGGTCCGCTCAAAAATCGTCGAGATGGTGGACTTGCTCCCCTTCGAGCCTTCGCCGCGGGCCGAGACTGGTCGTGCTTTCGCTGCCGGGGCTTATGGTCAGGGTGCACTGGTTGGGTTTCGTAAGAATACCCTGGTTTTCCCTTTCTGTGTTTTTGCCTTGACTGCCTGGCTGCGCCTGCTGTGCCCAGATTCCATTTTCTCAGCCATTGTTCTCCTGGATGCTGACGACGCTCCATTCCATAAGGATGTGCGTAACCATCCTGTGCCTAACACCGTTGCGCCTTTGACCGCCTTCCAAGGTGGTCTGCTTTGGGTCGAGGGTTGTGGTAGTGAAAGCCTCCCTTGTGCTGGCCACACCGTCCAAGGTGGCCCTTTGTCCTGGGAGCATGGTGCCGTTACCTTCGACGCCTATCGCCTGTGGCATAAAGTCCTGCCCTGGACGGGGCGCAGGCTTGTCTTGGTGGGTTTCACTCCTGCCTCCTGCCACCGGCTCCTGCCGGACGATCGTGCCAAACTCGTTGCCTTAGGTTTCCCCCTCCCTCCGCTCCCCCAGACCGCTGATGCACCTGAGCCTGTCACCTGGGCCCCCCCCTCTGCGCGACCTCCATCATGTCTGGGGTCTTCCAGGGCTCTCACCTGCTGATCACGCTCGTGTCCAATGTGCCAATGCAATCTACGAGGGCGCTGCTGCTTTCTTCGAATTTGTTCTGGCTTCTTTTCCTCAGGTCGGCGTCTCAGTAGAGAACCCTCTGCATTCATGGCTTTGGATGTTGCCGCCTTTTGCCTCTTTGATGCAGCGCTGCACTTTCGTTGCTTTTGACCTTTGCAGGCATGGCTCCAACAGGCGCAAGGCTACGGGCCTTCTCACCAACGTGCCAGGTTTGGGGGTCCTTAGTGGGCCATGCCCAGGTTGTGCGGAGCATCAGCCCTGGCAAGTCCAAAACGGCGAGTTTGCCACTGCCCGTGAGGCGGCCTACCCGCTCCTTTTCTGCCAGCGGTTCGTGGCGGCGGTTGCGGCCTCCGCTTCAGCGTCTGGGTTGGGCCCTGATCCCGATGCCCTTTCTGCCCATGCTTCCGCGCGTGCAGCCAACCACGTGCAGCCACGCGGGCGCCGCTTTCCGCCGCTCATACCCGAGTACAGTTACACTGTCACTGTCTTTTCTGAGATGCCGCCGCCGCTCAATGCTAAGCGTTGCCTGACAGATCCTTGGCTGGGTGTGCCGGCCGGCAGCCGTTTCCTGCGACAGTCACTTGAAAGGGGGGGAGTCGCTCTTCCTGACTTCCCAGGGCCGTCGTACGTTACCTTTGGTGTGTACCGTGAGCCGTTGCAGTATGTGCATCATGCTCTTTCCCTGCAGCATCCGTTTGACCTGGCTCGGGCCGTGCCTGATGACCTTCTGCGTGTACTCTTTAAGACTTTGACGGGTGGGCCTGTAGCAGTCCTCCGTTCTAGGTTGCTCAAGCTTCGGCAATGGCCGCTTGGGCTAAAGAGCTTGAGTCGGAAAATGCAAAACTTTTTGCCTCGATGCACAAGGATGTCGCAGCCGTCCTCAGAGGAAAGAGGCTGGCCCTACTCGAGAAAATTGGACGGTCTTTGGGTTGGCCAGATGAGGCCATCTATCGGGACCTTGCGGATGGTTTTCGCATAACCGGCTATCTTCCTGCGACAGGAGTCTTTGAGCCTGACGTGCGCCCTGCAGAGCTTGATGAGCAGGAGTTCTGGACCCGAGCGCCCGCTCTCCAGAATTCCTTGGTGGAGAAGATTCGAAAGCAGGCCATCGCTGACTTCGAGCAACCCCTGTGGGAGCTGACTCTGGACGAGGCCGACCCGAACTCGAAGGCATGGCTTCACGGGCCTCTCTCATTGGAGGAGGTCAGGCAGCGTTTCGGTGACAAATGGTGCCCTTGCAGAAGATTCGCGGTATGGCAAAAGAAGTGGCGACCTATCGACGATCTCAGCGAGAACAATGTCAACTCGACATTTGGAGCTTTCGAGAAGGTTGCCTTGAGGGCCCTCGACGAGATTGTGTGGGTCTGCTCAACGATCTTTCGCTGCGCCTCATCCCGAGGAGATGTGTCTTTGACTCTTTCAGATGGCACTTGCCTGAATGGGAAAGTGCATGCCATGTGGGAGCAGGGTGATAACATCAGGCCCCTCACGAAGACCTACGACTTGAGGTCTGCTTACAAGCAGCTGCCGCTGCACCCAGAAGAGCAAAGGAAGGCTGTCATCATGCTGCGGGAACCTGGGACCCGTGAGCCCAGAGCCTTTGTATGCCGGACCCTACCTTTCGGGTCTGCGGCTTCGGTTCTGCAGTTCAACCGGGTCTCTTTGCTGCTTAGGCGCATCCTCCTTGAGGTCGACGTGCTTGCCTCCTGCTACTACGACGACTACCCTTGCACTGCGCCTAAGTGTCTTGCAGAAGCAACTGATGGCTGTGCCCATGCAGTCTTCACTCTTTTGGGTTTTGAGACTTCGGTGGACAAGGAGTGTAGCTTTTCTACGCAAACCGAGCTGCTGGGTGTCACCCTTGATACTTCCGATCAAGGGTATCAGGCTGTCCGGGTAGCCAATAAGCCAGACCGTGCCAGCGCCATAGCTGAGTCACTCGAGATGGTCATGCATCAAGGGAGAGTGAGGGTGGCTGAGCTTCCTGCCCTTTTTGGCAGGCTCCAGTTTGCCGAATCACAGCTCTTGGGAAGATCCGGCCGTCTGGCGCTGGCTGACCTTCGCAAGCTTGAGGCTGCGAATGCTGTGAGTGTGCCCTTAACGCCCCATCATCTTGAAGCCTTTGCTCTTCTCTTGCGCCGCATGCGCTCCGGACCGCCCCGAAGCATTTCCACAGCAGGCGATCTTTCGCCCGTGCTTGTCTTCACCGATGGTGCATGCGAACCCAAGGGAGATAAGTTCGAGTGCAGTGTGGGGGGCTTGCTAATCGTTCCGGGCTCCCGCCCGACGATGAAGGTCTTTGGCTGCCGAGTGCCAGATTCAGTTGTGCAGGTGTGGGCAGAGGGAAGGAAACACATCATAGGGCAGACCGAGCTGTATGCCGTGGTCCTCGCTCGAGTGCTGTGGAGTAATGACCTGTCAAATCGTAGGGTTGTCTACTTTATCGACCATTCAGGCGTGCAGGGCGCATGCATGACCGGGACGTCATCCGACTCATCCTGGAGGCAACTTCTTATGGCCTTTGAAGTTGCAGATGAAGCGAGGCCTTGCATGTCCTGGTTCCATCGAGTTCCCAGCCACTCAAATCCAGCTGACCCCCCGTCCAGAGGCCGTTGGCATGATATGTCGTGTTTCAAACCTTTTGTCGAGGAGACACCGCGTTGTTTCCTCACTGGCACAATCCTCGAAAGGATGGAGTGAAAAGGGGAAAGAAGGCTGGTGGCTCTATGCCACCTCTTGTGTTTGAAATGTGGGAGTGGCTCCATGCCACGCGATGTCATGTGTACCATTCCCCTTTTCGCGTTGCGAAGGCAGAGAAAAACAAGGGATTGCTGTCCGCGTGCTGTTGATTCTAGATTGCTGTTTTCAACAATTTGCTTTAATATGTTTCGGCAACATATATTCGAACATGGACTTCATCTTTGGCATAAGCAAGCTTTCACACTTGTGTGACAGCGTTTTATGCCAGATGAACTCAAAAATTCTTTGATGAGAATTTTTGTGTCCATGTTCTACATGTTGTTCTGCTGGGAATTTTCGTCTGACCCGGGCATGCACTCTCATGTGATTTGTTGCATGAATATTTACATGTGAATTGCATGTTGAATGGGTCAAGGTTCTTGCTCGCAGCAAGCTGGCGAAAATTTTTGTTCCCCACCCTCCCACCCGGGGAAAGAAGGCTGGTGGCTCTATGCCACCTCTTGTGTTTGAAATGTGGGAGTGGCTCCATGCCACGCGATGTCATGTGTACCATTCCCCTTTTCGCGTTGCGAAGGCAGAGAAAAACAAGGGATTGCTGTCCGCGTGCTGTTGATTCTAGATTGCTGTTTTCAACAATTTGCTTTAATATGTTTCGGCAACATATATTCGAACATGGACTTCATCTTTGGCATAACATTTCTTTTTTCGTTTTTCATGATGCATGGCTGAACACTTGGTGACAACGCAGATTTTGCATGAAGCATGGATGAATTCTTTGAGTTTGACGTTTGACACGGAGTTCTGCCAGAACTTGGAGGCAATCCGACTGCTCAACACCTTGCAGACGTTAACGTTCAGCGCAGAGTTCCATCAGAGCTTGGAAGGGGTCCAGCTGCCCAGCAACCTGCAGACGTGGACGTTTGGCGTGCGGTTTTGCGTCTTTCCAACCAGAGCGTGGAGGAGATTTAGCTGCCCAACGCCCTGCCGATGCTGAAGTTCGGTGCAAAGTGCTTGGCGGAGATCCAGCTGCCCAACACCTCGCAGACCTGGAGCATGTGAAGCATAAGCGTGTGGAGCAGGAAGTGGTGCATGAGCATGTTGGAGTGGTTGAGCACGCACAGTGTGTGAGCATGTGGACGGGATGAACAGACATGAGTAATCGAGCATGACTAGCGTTTGAACATGTGGAAGAGCTGAGCAGACATGAGTGATTGAGCATGTTCGGTGTTTGAGCATGTGGTGGAGATGAGCAGCTTTGAGTGAATGAGCATGAGCAGTGTGAGAGCGTGTGAATGGCGTGATTCACGTGCAAGTGTGGGAAGTTTTACTTACTCACATAAAGCTCCATTCGTGAAGTTCTTTGCCATCTCCATGGATGATCGCCTCGGTGGCTTGCTAGAGCATCTCTACCTTCGGAGCATCTACCAGTTTATGTGGAAACACTAAAACAAAAAGTGTGTGTGTGTGTGTGTGTGTGTGTGTGTGTGTGTCCGCCTTTTTTGTTGATAAAGAAAGTATGACAAAAACTATAAGAGCAGTTTGGTAGCAGTTTCGGATTTCGCCCTCCAGAAACAGAAACAAACTGTGAAGCAGTTTGGTCGGAAACCGCCAAGAGCAGTTTAGGGGAAGTTTCCACGAAACTTCTTCTCGCAGTTTGCCGGTCAAATTAGCTTAGATTGCAAATTTTAACTTCGGAAAGTTAATTTGAAACGCTCAAATTAACTATTTTCTACGCCCCTACTTTAACTTACGGAAGGCATGCATGGCCTCGTGATCCTCGCCTATGGTCAGAGCCAGCTCCAGGAGGAAGGCTATGACCGGCTTTTCGTCCGCCAGGTCCGTCTTCAACGGTCTGGACGGTCTGAACTTGGTAAGCTGGTCCTGGTCGAGCTTTAGCATTGCAGCAAGCTGTGTGGATAACGACCTTCGGTGAGAGAGGAGGACGCTTCACATCGACCACAGTCTTCTTCTTCTTGGAGTCCCATCGCATGTAGTTCCAGTAGAAGAGGGGGTTCTCATCTGTGTGGCGCCAGCCTCTTGTAGTGAGAGCGCCGGAGAGTGTGACGATCGCCGCTTCCTTGTCCATGTTTGCACTTTCGCAGCTAATGACAGCTAATGTGGTCGAAGCTCTCAGCTCTGGAATTCAGCTCGTGAAGAAGTCCGATGAACAAGGCTTGTCTGACAGGAATCTCTGGGGTGTTTTGGGTCCTGTCAGACCTCCACTGCTGCTGGATGCTGGCCAAAGGGGGAACGATGCTTCCCTTCTGATGCACCGTGGCGTAGAAGATCCATCCATGATGATAGCGCAAGGCTGCTAGTTCATCCTCGTGATTCAGGAGGCCAAGATGATGCTGGCTATGAGGCCTGTGGATGACTTGGCCTCCTGCTGGGACGGCTGTGCTCCGTTTCGAGGGCCTCTTGGTTGTCTTGATGAGCTATGACGACGTCCTGACCGTCTGGGCTTCCTGGATCTTGACAGCGCTCGGGTTGGTGGCATGTCCTCGTCCTTGTCCGATCCCTTCTCTTGGCGTCGCTGGGAGGCCTGTCTAGATCATGCGCAGGCACAAGTTCTCTGGATGTTGAACGTTCTTCGGGATGAAACGCCCGCGCAGCCATGGAGGAGGCAGCCAAGGATGGGAGGGTTCTGAAGAGCACTTGGCATAGTGCTGGATTATTCAGTAGCTCTTGCTGAGCTTGCTCCATAGCGCTGAGTCGAGCCTATTGGTTGCATGTGCATGTTTTTTTTTCAGGAGGAGACCTCACTCGGAAGGCAGAGTTTCGTCAATCAACGCAGTCGACGGAGGAGCAGAAGGTAAGCTCCTGACTCCAGTAGCTCTTGTTCCTGGGCTGTAGGCGGAGCGCCTGGGTGTGAATCGTCTCCGACCAGTAGAACGGGTCTTACAATAAAGGATCTATAGTGACCTGAGGTTGCTGCCTGTCTGATGTGGAACAGTCCTGAGATGGGTCTGTAGTGCACAAAAGATGTGGAATTGGGCCGAGTCCATACTGGCAGTTGTATATCGTCCTGCAGTCCTTTGAGCCTCCAGTGCTGCTTGTCTCCTGCATTTGTGAACCTTGGCAGTGAGACAAAGATGTATGGCGGCGTGTATAGCAGTGCCGCAGTAGAGTCATGAGGAGAGTGCCATTCATGTATGAAGAAAGACAGCGCGTAAGTCTGCGTCATCTCTTCCGAGGAGTATGCCGACATCAGTCTGGTCGGATCTGTACCCTCTGGGAAGGTAAGTATGAGTGGGGAAAGACCTGTGGAGGGTATGTCCGCATCATAGACCCTCTTCCAAGGGGTGCCTTGTAGAGACCCCTGATGATCCGCTAGCAAGGACACTAGGTACTCCAGTGCGTCGCTCTGTCTATTCGCAAGCCTCCAATCTGGATGACAGTGAGGCAGCGATTCAAGCTCTGAGATGGACCATGGAGACGGGGTGCGACGTTTTGTCTCGGAGTTCTCTCTGAAGCTGTTGGAGATTTGATCAGTCTGCTGAGGCGTCATTCCTTACAGCGCTGATCATTTGCAGGACTGAGATGGCATAGCACAAATTAAAGGGTTTAGTTGCGGCATTCTCAGCGCAGTAGGAGAGCGCATTGAAGGCGAGACATCCTGACTGTGTAAGACAGGTGTTTGCATGGTGGAGGGAGGGGGGTCCGAAAGTGATTCCTGAAGTCCCCCGTGCAAAAAGTCCCTGTGTGTGAGCTCCAGTGTTTGCATGAAGTATTACACTATATTTTCATTTGTGGGAAGGGGCACAAGTGTTTTTTGGGATGCACTGAATCATGTGTTGTGTGAACGCATGCACCATGTCAGTGCTCAAAGGCCACAGAAAGCTGTGGCATCAGAAATTTTGTTCGGGCTCTCTACAGGCTTGTAATTGCTTCGCTAGAGGTCCCAGGCTCGGTAACCTCTGGGGTTGCCCTTAGGGCTTCGTGCAAGTCAGCCCCGTGGGGGCTGGCGGATGGTACACGGCCTCGAGCAGCGAGCTCGTTCCAAGGGCCGTGCAGCCTTAGAGAGGCCTGTGAGTCTGTGCCAGGCGCCTGCAAGCAGTGGGATTCATCCATTGACGTGCTGTGTTTCCCACTTCACGTGCTTGTTTTTGGGTGCAGTTTTGGTTGTCGTGTGGGCAACGTGGACTAGGGCTGCTGTTCCTTGAATGCAACTGAACCTTCAGAGTCTGGAAGAGCCGCATTTTGTCAGTCCCTATCACGAGCTTCGGACAGAAGTGAATCAGCTTATTTTGGGTGTGGACGCTTTGCTGCTTCGCATCCAGAATCTTGAACGCCGGAGTGTTGATTTGCTTTCCATTGCAACAGATCATTCCCAGCAGCTTCGTGCGTCTCAGCAAGAAGACCTGCAGGTGCGTGAAAGTGTTCGGGACCTTGCGGATAGTGTGCTCGCGTTGGAAGAGCGAGTAGAGTCGCTGCGCCTTGACACTGATTCCGCTCTTCGTAGGGCTGGAGATAACGGGATCCAGGTGGCGTGGTGGCTGGATCAACATAATCAGCTGCGTTCTTGGGTCGTCATTAGTGTCCTTTCCCTCTTCGTCCTGCTCCTGCAGGTCGTGCGAGCACTGGCCGGGTGGTGCATTGCAGCGCCCCCTGCGTTCCAGTAAGGCCTGATTGGCTTTCGATGGCTTCAGGGTCATCGTGTGTGTGTGACAAAGGGGGGGGGGATAAGTCCGATGACCTAGGGGATTTGTTCTTCAGGGCTGCCTTGTGGAATGCCGGTGCAAGACCCAAGCGCCCACTATTGCCGTGGGAATGTGAAGGGTCTATTCTTGCTGACACACTAGGACAACCGAGTCCGTCCAAAGCTATGAGGGTCGAGTGGCCGTCACAAAGCTTGCTGGACCAGGACGATCTCGCTAGTGTGGTGTCTACTGCCGTTTCGGCAAGTGACGCAGACTTGGCGGGGGCCGGAGGCTTGAAACTTGTTGTGTCCAAAAAGTGGCTAAAGAAATCGGGGCAATGCAGGGCATGGCAAGATGAGCGAGATGCGGCTCGCAATGCTGCGCTACAGTCTTGGAAAGCTTTGATTATGGTTTCGGGCACAGGAACCAAGTTGGGGGCTATCATCCTTGATGCAGCTGAAGAAGACGAAGAGCTTGTTCTTGAGTCGGTCCGGATGCTTTTTCAGGCAAGGCCACGTCTACGTTACGCAATAGGGCAAACTCGTTGTTGTGTTACGGACGATGGAAGGCCTCGCTTGCAGATGAGCAAGTCGTTGCAGTGTTTCCGATCACCGAGCAAGAAGCTCATTTGCTACATGCGGCGTGAAGGGGCACCGGTCTCAAGGGTGTCAAGGTTCGTGCAAGCCCTTGGGTTCGCCTGTGGTACCTTGGGAGCCAAGGTGTCTGATGTGCTTGAGTCTCCTAGGGTTAAGGGAGCGTGCAGCAACACACAGCCCAGACAGGTGCATAAGAAGGTGCCACTTACTGTCGCTGAGGTGGTCTTTCTTGAGACCTTGGCCGCATCAAGCGCATGTGTGGATGCCATCATCGCAGGTTTTGTGTGTTTCGCTCTTCACTGTCGCTTGAGATGGTCTGACGCAATGCGCTCAGAGGAGGAGCCAGTCCTGGATGCGCCTGAGGGAAGGGGGTTTGTTGAGACGAGCCTTTACAGCTATAAAACCGTAGCTGCCATGAAGTTTCGGTTGTTGCCGGTTGTAGCCGTGCTACCGGGAATGTCCAAGCTTGATTGGGCGGGCAACTGGTTGCGCAACCGGAGAGACCATAATCTGGTGGCGAGCAGGAATTGCCCGTTGCAGCCTGCGCCCGTGTCCACAGGGGGGTGGTCGGCATTGCCATTCGAGCCCATGCATGGGGCTATGTGGTTGCGTGAGAAGCTGGCAGGTATGCACGTTCCGGTGAGCCGACTTAGCGATATTGCAACTCACTCCCTGAAGGCAACGGTGTTGTCGTGGCTGTCGCGTGCTGCGTGCCCGCAAGACTTGCAGCGCAGGGCAGGGTATCACATGTCAACCTTTGAGAAGAGTGCGTTGGAGTATGAGCGGGATGGACAATCAGCTGTGCTGCATTTCATTGAGGGCGTGTACGAGTGCATCATTCATGCCATGTTTTCCCCTGACGCAAGTCGATCTGGTCGTTGGTCGGGATGCAGGTCGGTTGAAGAGGGCATGAAAATTTTGGCAGGCGCCGTTGATGAGGTGTTCCCACGAGCGACTGAGGGTGATGGGGATGCCAGTGATTTGGAAGATGAGTCGGAGCCCGATGCACAAGGTGCAGAAGCTGATTCCGAGGATGAGCAGATGATGGCGGAAGTAGCTGTGCATCAGGTCGCAAAGGCCGCGCCTATGGCCATGCCGGAGTGCATAGCCTTTAGGCACTGGATGAGTGGAGTTGTGCACTTGAGCCCTGTTGTGACTTCAGATGACGATGGGGAGGCATGCGTGTTCAAGTGTGGGAGGACGGCCAATTCTAACTACGAGCAGCTCAAGTTTGTGCCTTCGTGCAACACCCGACAGTGTTCCGTGTGCTGGATGTGAAAGAATGTGTTCGTGTAGGCCGTGTAGGGATCTGTGATGTGCGAGAAGGATTCTGTGATGTATGTAGTAGCATTTCGTTGTGTGCATGTACGCAGAATCGATGTTAGGGCGTAGGAGAAGTGTCTCGCGACATGATGCGCGCGCGCGCGCGCATCATAAATTTTTCATACCGGCGGGAGCGGGGGAGAACTGCGTGTTGCTTTCTTGCTAAACGAAACACAGGAGGCATGCCCTGTTTGTGCAGCTTGGGAAGGCCCGAGTGCTCGCGAGGCAAAGGCCCGCGACTGAAAGCTAGCATGTCCATGGTCGACAGTGAGCCTGTGTTTGCTGCGAGGTGCACGCGCATTGGCATCCCGGGAGCCGTTGTGAAGAAGCTTGCTACCCATGGGTGGAACACTTATGCTACCTTTGGCTTCTGCATCCAGAATCATGCTGATGACAAGTCGTTCGAGTCACAGGTCATAGGACCCGTCTTGGGTACCGACCCAGCTATGGTCACCCACGCTGCGAAGTTGCGTAGGTTGTTCATGGAGTCCTACACTGTGTCTGCGGGCGAAATCAAGAGACAGGCTGAGGCGTCGGAACAGGATGCGCCGCGGAAGTTGCCACCACAAGAGATGGCAGCCCGAATCGAGCTGTTGGCAGCGAAGATTGCTCCCTTGAAGATTCAGGATCGCCTTGAGCCATCCCAGAACTTGGTTAGTTTGGCGTGCCAGATGTTGGATGAGGGTCGTGTCAAGTACATCTCTTGGGCGCAGTGCACCACAAGGTCGCAGGAGATCAACGCTGTCAAGGAGATCAATGGCCTTAAGATTTGGCAGCCAGCCAAGGATGGTGTCATCAAGGAGACGCGTGTGGAGCCAGGCATGACAGCGGCAGTGGCTACGGAGCTTGAGGTTCACCAGGCACTGCGTCGCAGAAGCATTGCTTATGCTGTGGCACAGGTGATGTCCTTTGCCCGTCATGAAGAACTGATAGCCCTCTTGTTTGATGAGTTGCAACGCGAGGCAAAGGCTGGTTTCCACCCCGTGTCGCTGGCTCAGCTTGCGCAAGCGGACAGAGAGATTCACGTTCGGCTGGGCGAGGCAACCAGGGCAGGTCTGGTGAACGGACCTGGCGGTGAGCTCCCACTTGATGTTCCGTTGACCCGTGTCTTGCAGAGCCCGGCGGTCATGTGGTTGCTCATGCCTCGTCTCAAGCAGGGGTCAGCGCCAGCAACCGAAGATCCGGAGGCGGCTGAAACGCCCAAGAAGAAGAGGACTCGGAAGAACAAGAAGAAAGACCCGAAGAAGGAGGCGGATGTTGAGACACCGCCTGCCAAGAAGCGTCGGGTTCCCATGCCGAAGGCGCTGATTGGCGGCACACCCGAGGATCCTGAGGGAAACTCGCTGTGTTTCGGGTTCTCGTTGAAGACCTGTAAGGTGCATGGACCGAAGTGCGACAAAGGTCTGCACAAGTGTTGCTTCTGCTATGGGCATCATCCTGGTGTCGAGTGCAGAAGCAAGAAGACGTGACGTGAGGGCCATGCCGTGTCCGTGCTTGACGATGGGGGGGCCGAAGGGCCAAGCCTTGACGCTCATGTGAAGCCTCCGGAGGGAGGTGATCCGTGGGCGTCCGTGCATCGTCAGGTCAAGCGGCCTAAGTTTGTGCAAAGGCGTTTGCAGCGTGTGCTTGAGGCTACGGGTCCAGTTTTGGTGCGCCATGAAGCGGTTCATAAGCCGTGCAGCCTTCATGGTGTGGGACACTCGCCTACTGATTGTGATGCAGCTCAGCATCCTGCTGAGAGACTTGCGGCCACGATCAGCAATCCTGACAACAATGATATCCTCAGGCTGTTGAAGCTGTTACCGTCAGAGAAGCCAGCCCGAGGTGTTGAGCAGCCGAATTCACATTCTTTCAGCACAGGTGCTTTTTCTAAAGATGGACGGGTCGGGGTGCGTAATTTTCTTAAGGAGTTTCCTGTCACATCGCGTCTCTTGACGGCTTTCGTGCGCCGACATGCCCCGGGGCATTGCTTTGGGGCCGTAGCGCTCTTTACCAATCTTGAGGCAGATTTTCACAAAGATGTCAACAATGATGCATCATGTCACAATTGGATATGCCCTCTCTCGCATTGGGAGGCTGGCGGCGAGGTCTGGGTCGAGGACGAACAAGGCTCTTCCTGGCAAAATGCCCGTGGTGTGTGGCGACGAGGCCGCCTTTTGCCCGTGCGACAGCACCCTGTTCTCTTGGCGTCGCATGACTTGCACAAGGTTTTGCCATGGAAGGGGAACCGGGTCGTGCTGGTGGCGTTCATGCCTCGCGGTTTGTCTGGACTTGAGCCGGAACATCAGCGCCTCATGTCCAGTGCAGGTTTCGTGCTGCCAGGGATTGGGCATGCGTTGCCTCCTTTCGTGCGTGAGGGCGGAGCCCTGCAAGACGCCTTAGTGTCTCCGGGCGCTAGGCCTGACCCTAGGGTTCCGCCTCCCCCCTCTGTAGGCGCCGGAGTTGGGTTTCCGGGGTTACGATGCAAGCCCGAGTCCCACCCCACCCTAGGTCACTGTGCTAGGCCTTCCGACGGTTTTGGGTTACCGACCCCTTTAAGCACAGTGACTAGGTCACCTAATGCCGCTCAAGATGCAAAACCTCCCTATGTGCTGGAGATCTTTTGTGGCACTGCCGGCGTTGCTGCCGCTATGCAGGCACGAGGTTGTGATGTCCTTGGCATTGACAAAGACTTGCGTCCGCGCAAAGTGCGCGCACCGGCGGTGCGCCTGGACTTGTGTGATGCGGAACAGCGTCGGCTTGTGTGGCAGGAGATCCAACGGGCCGATGCCGTCTGGCTGGCTCCTCCGTGTGGCACATCGTCCCGGGCAAGAGGCATACGTTTGCCTTCCGGGGGACCGCAACCCAAGGCCTTGAGGTCGGAGGATTTCCCACAGGGCTTTCCAAGCTTGCGTGGCGTCAACAAAGCACGGGTGACGGCAGCGAACACTTTGTATGCGTTTTGCGCTGAGGTCTTTGAGTATTGCCGTCAAAACCACAAGGTAGCCGTCATAGAGAATCCCGAACGTTCCTTCATGTGGCTCACTGTGTGGATGCAGCGTGTGTTGTCCATGGGCAGGTGGCATGTACTACATGCGTGCATGTATGGGTCCCGGCGTTTGAAGCGCACAGCCTTGCTGGCCACGCATGATTTGCCGTCCATGCGCAGCCAGTGTGATGGCGCCCATGCACACATGGCATGGGGGCGATGCAAGCAAGGCGCCGGGTGGGCTTTCGCTACGGCCGCCGAGGTGAGCTATCCCCGGCCCATGTGCAGTGCCGCGGCCAATGATTTGTGTGCTATCCTGCGAGCCAAGGGTTCCTTGCTTGATGGTTCATATGCTTCGCGCACCGCTTTGGCCACTGTTGCGTCGCAGCGTCAGCCACGACGCGATGGCCCGCAAGTGGGACCCGAGGAGTTCCTATCCACCGTGACTGTACAGGTGCCTGCTGAGGTCGAGGTGCCGGACTGCATACCGGCTACTGGGTGCTTGGTGCCGGGTCTTGGGGGTGTTCCTGCTGGCTCCAAATTACTTGCCTCACGTCGTTGCGAAGAAGGGGGGAAGGTAGTTCGTGAGGTTGTGTTTGGCATATACAGGACACCAGATGCATTTGTCAATGAAGCTTTGAAGTGCATACATCCGTTTGACAAGCCGGGAGCTTTAGACATGGACAATGTGCAGGCTATGGCCAATATCTTTCAGCATGGGATAGAGGGCACGAAGGCTTTTCGAGAGAGGATGTTGGATCACTACAGAAACAGAGCAAGGGAGCTGCAGCCCATGGAGGATGCGGCCAAGGGCCAAATGCACCCCGATGTGAAAGCAATTATGGGATCCAAGCGCTTGTTGCTGCTGCAGGAGCTCATGAGCGATGCAGGCGTCCAGGAGCGTGAGCTAGTAGCAGACATGGCCAGTGGTTTCCGACTGACGGGCGAACCTGATCCTGGGCAACTCCGCTACGGTGCAACTGACCTGCGACTGCTACAGCAAAAGTGAATCGGATGCCCGCTATGCTCTGGCAGGGGCACCGCCCGCAGACCCCCTGCTGGTCAACGACGTCAGAGCCAACGGGGGCGACTTCTTGACGCTGCGGGGCGGCAGCCTGGGCATCGAGTTCGAGGCTTCCAACGGGTAGCGCTACCGTTTGGCGGGACGGGGTCGGTCACCAGCTTTAACAGGGCGGCGCGGGTGCTCAAAATGGTGATGGCCCGACTGTTTTGGTTGGTGAGCACCAATTATTACGATGACTACTGCCAAATGGAACTTTCCCCGCTGATCGAGTCGGCTTCGCAGACGGCTGAGGCGTTGCTGGAGCTCCTTGGATGGGAGGTAGCCCGAGGCGATAAGCTCAAGGACTTCGCGAAGTCTTTCGACATCCTAGGGGTGACTGTCAGGTTCGATAGAGCTTGTGAGGGCATCGTAGAGGTGTGCAACAAGGCTGGAAGGATTGAAGAGCTCACGAGTGCGTTGCAAAACCTTGCGAGTGGGGCCTGTGGTCACAGTGAGCTGGCATCGTTCAAAGGGCGCATGTTGTTCGCTACCAACCATGTGTACGGAAGGTGTGCGCAAATATGCACCCAACTCATCAGCCAGGCCCAAAGATCCGGTGATGTTGCGGTGGCCCGGGAAGCCATACTGGATGCAGCGCGCTTGGCGTTGGATACCTTGCGAGCATCGGGCCCGCGACGGCTGTCGTGTTGGGCTCATGAACCGCCCGTGCTCATCTTTTCTGATGGTGCCCATGAAGATCAAATTGTGACACATGGAGCCGTGCTCTTTGACCCACTTACAGGGAGACAAGAGTTCTTTGGTGATTTTGTACCAGAGTGGCTAGTGAAGCGGTGGAGGTCTAAGGGCTTAAAGCAGTTGATCTTTTTCGCTGAGTTGCTACCTGTGGCAGTTGCCAAGGCGACCTGGGCACATGTGCTCGAAGGTCGGCTCTGTTTCTTCTTCGTGGACAATGAAGCCGCGAGAGCTAGCTTGATCAGATCCTTCACACCTGTGATCAATGCAACTTCCATCCTGATGGATGTGGCTTTGGCAGATGTCAAGTCTAATGCAATATCCTGGTACTCGCGCGTTCCATCAAAGAGCAACATAGCAGATGCAGGACACTCATGATTCTCAAGCTCTCAAACATGAGAGGCTAACTCTCTACACTCAGTCCAACAAGGCCTGAGGTCTCCTCGCCTTGTGAGTCGACACTCTGACAAGGAGTAGACATAGGCTGTAGACTAGCTGGCCCTCATGATGTCTCCTGTACAGTTTTTATTTGCTTGTTAGCTTCACTTGTTAGTTCCCAGCTGTGACACCTCAGCTGTCGGGCTCTGAGGAGCACAGCTTTGCGGCTGCCAAAGGCAGTGTTTATCTTTCTAGGATTGTACAACTTTGCTGTCGGGCTCCACGGGGCACAGCAGGGTTTTTATCTGCCTCACACCGGCGAACCCTCCAGCAGAGAGGGGTGACTAGCTCACACTCGCCCGCATGACAACTGCCACAGTTGATGCGAATGAATGAAAAAAAAAAGATGACGCATCCCGCTTGTGCTTCACCAGATACCAGTCCATGTTTCGCCAAGTTGCACCAGTGTATGAAAGCATCACTTGAGAGGCAAACGGGGGTGGTGAGGAAGTGATGCTGTGAAGGTGTGCGAGGGCACACACTTGGAACCGACGTGGGTGTACTCCTCAACGGAGGAGGGACCTGGGTCGTGCATCTGCAGGGCTTCGTACCGTCCCCCGTTTGTGCGTGTGAAAAAGTGGGAGGAGTGAGCGTGATGCATGTTATGAATTTTGAAGATATGTATTCATGATGGTGAAGAAATATTCTGACAGTTGTGTTTGGGATTGTATCGGTGAGAGGGAATAAGGAATGCTTCTTCTTGATAATTCTTTATTCCCAAAAGGCGATGCAACAGATGTGAGAGCACATCGTCCCAGAACAAAACTGTTTTACGTGTCAATCATTGGTGCTTTGGGGTTTGTGGAGGGAGGGGTCCGAAAGTGATTCCTGAAGTCCCTCGAGCTTTTGGGCCATGAACGACATTGGGTTTGCATGGTGGAGGGAGGGGGGTCCGAAAGTGATTCCTGAAGTCCCCCGTGCAAAAAGTCCCTGTGTGTGAGCTCCAGTGTTTGCATGAAGTATTACACTATATTTTCATTTGTGGGAAGGGGCACGAGTGTTTTTTGGGATGCACTGAATCATGTGTTGTGTGAACGCATGCACCATGTCAGTGCTCAAAGGCCACAGAAAGCTGTGGCATCAGAAATTTCGTCCCGCCCAACCCACCCCCTGGAAGTGATGCTGTGAAGGTGTGCGAGGGCACACACTTGGAACCGACGTGGGTGTACTCCTCAACGGAGGAGGGACCTGGGTCGTGCATCTGCAGGGCTTCGTACCGTCCCCCGTTTGTGCGTGTGAAAAAGTGGGAGGAGTGAGCGTGATGCATGTTATGAATTTTGAAGATATGTATTCATGATGGTGAAGAAATATTCTGACAGTTGTGTTTGGGATTGTATCGGTGAGAGGGAATAAGGTCTTCTACGTGGACCATCGAGACCGCCTACGATGCATGCGCCCATGTTCAACACGCCCACACTGCCCCTTTGGCCTCGTGTGTGCACAGATAATGTCGGACACCGACAGTGAGCATTTGGATCACCTGTGCAGCCGCTGCGTGGAGTTTCGCAGAGCCCATGAAGACCCATGGGGCTGGTTCCATGCCTATGCGCCCTAAAGCCTATACAGCACGCAAGCATTTCCCTAATGGCATCGCCTATGCCTTGCCGCCTAGCCTGCCCAAGCCCGGCAGCCCTAGCCCATCCTCGGCCCAAGAATTGGGCCCTATTTTGCATCCGCCGCCGGCCCGAACAGGAAAAAAGGAGGGTATGCCCATTGCACGACCATGTTAACACATGCGGTTTGACTGCCTTGTTTAGCTTGCATGCCTACCTGATGCAGGTGCCCACCATCGAGCCCATCAAGATGCAGCCGGAGCCCTGTCTCTTCACACACCGAGAAAAGCCTCCTGCCGGGTTCTCTGCACGTGCCTAGTTCAGCCTTTTGCACGGGGTTGCCACTTTCATCGACGCTTCCACATGCAAGGAGCGCCCATCATCAGCATAATGTGAGCCCCCCTCTCTGCAGCCATTTCACTCAAGCCGCCAGGAATATGTTTCCGGGCCACAAACCGCGTGTCGACTGGAGCCCCACTCCTAGTCGAAAAAAGCCCAGACTACCTAACAATGAGGATTTAAGGCCTAACCCGCCCTCCCCTGCCTCCCTGCCGGGAATCGCGATCGATCTCCGCCCTGTCCGAAACACACTGTCTTCACGCTTGGAGGCCCCATGTCCTAAGAAATTTCAGACATGCTGGCATGCCACGGCTCCGCTGCCCAAACCCACCCCTAAGCCCGCTCCCGCCAGTGCCTACATGAATAAGCCTAAGCCCCTACCGGTACAGCCACCGGCGACCCCTAATCCCGCCAGCTCCCCTACTCCAGAGCCCGAAGCATCCTCGAAGCGCCAAGAGCCAGTCGTTCGCCAACAACGTTCGGGGCCACCTCGCCTTCAAACGATGCTTGCCAAAGAAGATGCCCGCAAACTGGAGTGCAACCGGGTTTGGCTGCTCCTCTTGGACAAGCTAGGGGACACCAGCTCCCTCTGGACTGAGACGACCCAATCTCTCACTCCTGAAAGACTTCGGGTCCGAGCCATATCAGCCTACGCTGCCTCCAGCCTCGAGGCCTACTTGTCCATAAGCAGCCTCAGCCTGACAATGCAAGCCCTCCGGAGAATTTGCTGGACGACCAAGACCTCTAGGTCAGGTCAACCTTTCGCGGTGACCCTGACCGGCGTATCAGGAAGAGGGCCATCAACCTCGTGGTGCCTAGCCTACCTCACACGCCTACACGCCTCTTGGCTCGCAACGGAACGTTTCTGGCGTTCATCTTCCGAACCAGATTTCATGCTGCCCATTCTGCCAAATTGGTCCAACCCATCCCAAGCCGGGGTTGCATTCCAATCGCCCATGTCCTACACTCAGGCCCTGCCAGCACTGCGCTCTGCGCTGCAGCTTCGCAAAGCAGCCTTGCCAAGCGCCCTCGACGCCCAGGAAGCACTCAACTTCACCTTACACGGCCTCAAAGTGGGGCTCCTTAGCCCAGCCAAGCAACTCAGGTTGCCTGCCGACCCACCGGAAGGCGGGCCACCACAAGGCCAGCTCGGAACTATACGGGAGAGATGACACCATTGACAGCCTATGGGTACAAGCCTCGGTAGCACGCAAGGTTTCCACAGGCTGGAGGCCCACACGCCCGATAGCCCGCGGGGGACAAGCCTTCACCATCGAGCCCAGCTTCCAGGTGCCGCCGCCCTGTGCCTAAATCCATGCCAATCAGCCACATGCTCCCCATCATTCCCAGATTCATGTACGCACGTGAGTTTGAGACTCACGCCGCCATCTTCACCCTCGCCCTCAAGGTCTGGTGGGGAACAATCAGCCTCAGAAGATGCCTCCGACGAGTCCACGCTGGATGGGGACTCATACTCCTCCAGTGAGGAAGACAGCCCACACAAAGCCCCGCAGCCACGCCACCCCAAAGCCCTTCTGGACCCTGCCACGGCAATCGTCGCCAATGGCCACTGGGGGGCGGTACATCTGGCCCATCCGATCTCGGACACTCACTGGCGCACTGCCTGTGGATAGTCATGGGGGACGCCGGGGTCATAATGCCTGAGCCTGACCCAGCTCGGATGTGCCGCCACAAAGCCTGCCGCCTTGCCCTGGACGCCTTCCAGAGCCTGCCTTCAGAGTAAAACAAGAACGGCCCGCAGTGCATTCATGTTGAGCCGAGCCTATCCTGCCCCCCCCACAAACAACCCCTGCCTGCCTGCCCAAATACTCGCCTACACCGCAGCCGTTGAGATTCTCTCGAGAACACCGTGGACCCCCACTCCTCTTTTTCCGCGCCATGGACTGCCCAGATGCCTTCCGAGACCTGCTCAAGGAGTGTCGGGTACACGCCTCGCTGTGCAGCGCCATCTCGGATGGCGGGTACCAGTCCATGTCGGACTTCGCTTGGGCCTTCCCATGTGTGGAAGCCCTGAATCCCTTCATACAGGCCCTGCCTGAAGCAGTCACACATGAACTCGGCCCCGGAGGCCTAGACTCCTCCGTGGAGATCGCCCGCCTACGACGCGCCCTGGACAACTGCCACAAGCTGGTCCAGCGTGCAGACGCCCAAGTGCCTACGCCAAGCACAGCCCAATTGCCTACGCCCATTATGCCTTCGCAGCCTTCACAATGGATGGAGCACCTGCCACCGCGCCTAACCCAAGACATAGTCCAGGATATGGTGGCAGTATGCCCAGTATCCGCCTACTCAGCCTTGTGCACCACAGCCTAAAACCTGGGGAAAAGATCCGTTTGGATCCCTTGGCAATTTCGCCTATCCGCCCGCCAATACCAGGAGCACATGGAAGCCAAGACTGCCAAGCCCCTACGCACAGAAGCCCAAATCATTGCCTCTGCCTTCTTTGATGAGACCCCGGAAGTGCCCGTAGAGCATATGCGCCTAGCGGCGGCCTGGTTAGACAGGATCCAAACTGTCTTCCGCAACGCCTGGACCCTCTGTGGAGCCGCACACCTGCACAACCTTAAGGCCCTGGACAAAAAGGTCAAGGAGCTCTGCCTACACCAACCAGATGCACAGCTAGGCCTAAGAACGCCCACGACTGCCGAGCTCATCTCTGCCGACAGAAAAATCTGGGCCTCGCTGTCGGAACTAGTTGCCCAATCATGGAGCCTAGATGATGCCCTGCATGAGATCACCTCCATCAGGAATGATCTCTCCAGCCTACTGCAACTACGCCCAAAGATGCAGCCCGACAAAGGTCAGCCCAAGGGCCTAGGCAAGAACGCCGACAGTCCCAACAAGCGCAAATCGCCCAACACGCCCCCCCCTCCTCCCAAGGCAGACAAGGGAGCAGAGAGACCGCCTAAGAAGGGGAAGGGAAAAGGGAAGATTACAAATCTTCCGTCGAATTGGGTTGCAGTGCATAAGGGACAGCCCATTTGCCGCCGCTATCAAAACGGCCAATGCCAACTCAAGGAGTGCAAG